GACAGTGCTATAGAAAGGTACATTATAAAATACTTCTCACCTACTGTTCTACCATCCACACAGCTGCTTTAGCCAGTGCTGCTATCTAATATTTTGCATATTTTCCACAGATATTTCACATGGGAACTGTGGTTCTGTATAAATATTTACTCCCACTTTACAAAGAGGTTGAGACTTAAAGATCTCAGTGATTGGCTCAGATCACAGAGGTGGCAAATGGCAGAGTCAGAATTCTGATGTGAGTCTTCCAGCCAAAAATGTACTACATCTTGGATTTTGAATTACCTGATGGATATTTCTCCTTAGAGTTCACATCTCTCTATTTTCTGTCCTTCCTATAAAATTGGCTTAGCCCCCATAAAGTCTCAGTCTTCATAAATGGAACCAGCATTATCTAGTCACCGCATTAGAAATATAATAATCATTGAATCCTTAATATCCTTTCTGTCTTGTATAATCAGTCACTTTCAAAATATCTCTGACTGGGAACTAACTCGGTGTTAAGAACTCATGCATGAGGCCCTGGTTCAGCTCCAGCACTGCAAAGACAAAACACTAACACTCAGAATCTCTCTCCTACTCATCCTGTAATCTCCACTCCTGTCTGCAGGCTCTAGCTCTGGCCCTCTGCCTCTTACCTCCCCCCACTCGTTGCCATAGGCTATAGTTTGGCCTGTGCAACTGTCTTTGTTAGCTTACTTTGTTTACCATTGCCAGAATAACCTTCCTAATTCTTTGGGGAGTGTGTGTGTTTTGTGTGTCTGGTTTTGGTCTTTCTTTTTTTGTTTGTTTTTGTTTTTGTTTTTTTGTTTTGTTTCCTATGTTTTGATCTACTTTAATTTACTCTCTGCATTTTGATGAATATATTGTCCTCGTACTCATCATTTGGTACTCAACAGAACACTAGAACCTGCCAGTGTTGGTTGTCTTATGACTCGCTTCCCTTTCCAGGCCAGACAGTTGGAGCCAATTAAGGATGGAGGACCAAGATACCACTGTAGTTTGTGAACGTAATTTCCTAAAGGAGAGTTGCTGGGTCCAATAAATAACGTATTTTTTAAATTTTTGTGCATTAATGCCAGTTGCCTACCACTGAGGTTTATGCCATTTTACCCCTCTATCAACAACAGTGAGAGTACCTCTTTCCCTGTACTCTTCAGAATTTAGGTATTGATCTTGGGTGATCTGACTGCTGAAAAGCAACATTTCTTTGAGTTTAGATTTTTCAAATTATGAATGAGATTAAACATTTTAAGGGCATTTGTATAAATTATTTTGTGAACTACCTTTTTATTGGGTTTTTGCCTGTTTAGTATTAAGAACTGTTTATTAATGTTGCTCCTTTATTGATCTTACATCATGTGAGTTTTTTCAAGTTTTGTCAGTTTTTTGTTTCTCATGTTAACTCAGTACTTTATAGTTTTCAGTACTTTTTATAGTTCTGTTATTAACCATTAAAAAAAACAGATTTGGTTTTATTTTACTCAGATGACTAGCCAGTTATCCTTGTAAGCTTTTAAAAATTATACTGCTGATTTTAAATGCCATTATCATATATTAAATTTGGGTATATATATTTGAATCTGTTGCTTATCAGATTTTTTTGGGGGGGTTCTAATTCTTCCATGTGATCTTTGGAATCAGAGTATCTGAACCTTCCCAAAATTTTGCTGATATTTTTATTGAGATCTTAAATTTATTACTTAACTGTTTCCAGCATTTTCTTTATTGTTCCCTCAGACCTTAAGTTTTGTTCATTTTCTCCTCCCGCTTCCTCTTTGTAGAAGAATGTAATTAGTTTAACAAGACAGTTGCTTGACTATTTATATTACATGCAGTCCTGAGATGCAGAGTAATATCCACACAGACTGAAGCAAAGAGTCAGTGTGTTGTGAGCAAATACCCATAGGCCACTGCAAAGGAAGGAAAACTGGTACTTTGTTTGTGGTTAACACTGCAGACCACTATGAACAAAACTGAAGGGTAGCCCTGCTGACTTACAAGCTAGATAGAACACTACGCTGTATTATTTTAATGCAAATAATACAGAATTTCTGACACTGAAGTAAGTAAAATCTCTTGGAAGTTCTAGAACAGTTTCACATTAACAGAAACACTGAGAAAATAGTGTACATATGCCACACCCAATTTTCTGTTGATTTTTTTTTAGCAGTAATATGAAACATTTATTATAATTGAACAAATACTGGTATATTATTAGAGTATATATTTTATTCTACTTTCTTTAACCTTTTTTGTTCCAGGATACCACATTATATTTAGTATCATGTCTCCCTATGCTCCTTTAAGGAGTTTGGCAGTTAGACATAAGGTTTTTATCATGGAAAAAGGATCTTAATATGTCATTTTTCGAAAAGATAATTTCAATTTAAAAGTACATTGATGTCCTAAATTCTGTGTTCACTTCTCTTCTTCATTTTAGGCACTCTGTGAATGTGCCCTCCAAACACCTTATGACAGCTTAAAACTTGGGATGCTCTCTGTCCTCTCCACATTATCAGGGACCATCGCCATCAAGCATTACTTCAGCATAGCTCCAGGTAAGGACGAGATAATGTGCTGATTTCTTTATTCCCACTTATGTCTCAAGTAGTTTCTTTATAAAATTTTAAATCAGAGGAAGTTTCAATCTCATACACCATTGTATGCTAGTGACTTATTTGAAAACGAGTCAATGCTTAAAATAAAATCTTGTATTCTTGATCTTAACTGAGGATATTATTTTTCTGGTTTGTTCTTATTTGAATTTATGTTGGGTGAAAAGATTTTTGAGAATGTCTAGAATGGTTGGCTTGATTTTATAGCTCAGATTCAAAGTATCCTTTAAATTTAAGTACATTTCAAAGACCAAGTGGTGTGATTTTAAAAGCAAATGCTGTGTGCTTCCCCAGTTCAAGAATACTTTGCTAATTTCCTGTTCAAAATGATTAACTCTAAAATTCTTTAATTAACACATTGAGAAGTTTGCCTGCCTAACAGACTTGTATAGGTCAGCCTTCTTGTTGCTGGACAAAGTTCCTGACACTGGCGACTTAGAGGAGAGGGTTAGTTGGCTCATGGTTGCAGAGGATTCAGTTCGTGATCGGTTGGCTCCAGAGCAGAAACATCACGGCAGAAGGAAATGATGGAGCAAAAGCTGCTTAGTTCATGGCAACCAGGAGGCAGAATAAGGGAACAGCACCAGAGACAAAAGGGTCAGGGGCCAGACACTCTCTGAGGTCGGGCCTCCATAACCCAGCCAGACATATCAAACATGTGCTTTACTAATCCCCTAGGTGGCTCTCAAACCATTCAGTAATCCAGCCTTTAATAATCCAATTTAAGTGTCACAAAATTTAAGGCTAACTTTGTTGTTGTTTTATGGCAGTTTTGTGGAATCTTTATGGCTTTTTCTGAAAGTTGAAGAGCTATGGACTACGTTTATTTTTCCTTTTTGTCACTGCACAGCATGACTTCACTGGGTCGGGGAAATGACCTATCAAATAAGTCTTAACACATTCACAATGGGACCAGAATTCTTATGTCTCACTGCCAGATGGCCCTGAATCAGTTACATGCATGCCGATGAGGACATGGTAACAGGATGTTGAAAAGACCTGATACAGTACTTACAGCCAGGGTACACGTGTGTGGCTGGTTCAATTGATCATTTCCATATCACAGACTAAATTGGGAACCGATAACAAGAAGTGGGGATTGAGAGAATCTATTATAGTGATACAGAAATGAGCACACCACCATCCTGTTTCCAGAATACTCAGTAGCGGTGGGTTTTTGCCACATCTGGTACCTGAGATAGCTGTGTAATCCATGACATCAAGTAATCAGTAATAGGGGCCACAGCATCTTCATTACTCTAATTCTGTGCATGGCTTTTTGAACTGTGAATTGTCTCTGCCCTGGCCTCCCTTTTTTCGTGTTTTCTGACTTTAGCATTCTACCCTTTTGAATAATTCTGTTAAGTACTCTCTGTCAGGTATCTGTTACTCCATAAAAATCCTAAAACTTCAGTGGCTTAAAGCCATGGCCATTTTATTCTGCTCCTGTGAATCAGCGATTCTGACTGGGCTCAGCTAGGCAGTTCTGCTGGTCTCGTCTGAGGTCATTATGTGACTGCAGTATCTGGAACCTTGATCCAACTGGCTGGCCTCATTCACACTCTAGAAGTGAAAGGCTTTCAGCTGAGATATCTTAGTTCTCTGCGTGACTGTCGATGAGATAGCTGCTAGCTGAACCAAAAGAAAGCAAACCACCAACGTGTATCACTTTTCAACCTTCTGTTTGTGTCATACTTTCTTAGTCTTACTGGCCAGAGCAAGTCACGTGGCCAAGCCCAGATAGGTTGTGAAATAAATACCTCTTGGTATGAGAAATTAGAAAATCACGTGGCAGAGGGGCGTGCCCGCAAGGGACAGGATTTTCTCTATAAACAGTTGACCATATTCCCAATGTGTTTTCAGTGAATTCCTTTTCTGCATAAAGGAATCAGTCTGTTTTGTAACTTACAGTTAACATTCTTGACTAACAGGATACTCTGAAAGAGCTATGGTAGGCAAAGTCTTTTCTTAAAATTTCCAAGAGCCTTCACACATATCCTTTCAAGTGAGGCACATGCCGGCCAGGGATTTAGCTCAGCGGTTGTGTTGCCTGCCTTGCAATCGCAAATGCAAGGACCCAAGTTTGAGCCCAGTACCAAAAAAAAAAAGAACAAGTGAGGCACATGCAAGGCAGTTTTTAAATATTAAAACAGACTCACAGAGGTTCAAAGATAGATTCAGAGTCGCATACTGATGAGATGCTTCTGCCTATGCCTGGACACAAGGGTTCCTCCAACTTGGGAGTATTTTTTTTTAAATAACAAAAGATGGCTTTTTAAATTTTTTTTAATTCCAAAAATAGTTACAAATATTTGTGTCAGGTTAAGCACTTCTCAAGCTGGGTATTTATTCTTTCGTTGAAGTTTGCTAAAGTATAAAGTTGATATATGGAATTAAGCAAAAAGACTTAATTAAACCAGATAATCTTCATAAAAAGTAAAAGTCAAGGATTTTACAAAGTAAGATTATTTATAAAATAATAATAAATGTTTGTTTCAATCCATTAGATTTTTTTCTGTATAACCAGAAGTAATGTAAAAAATTTAAATTTAATATGTCTAAACTACCTCTAATAAATGGCTCTTATCCATATAAAATGTTTAATGTTATATACATCTAGGAAAATGAAAATTCAAACACAAATTTAATCCAAGAGATCAGCAAAGATTGAGATGTTTGATAACATGCTCTGTTGGCAAAGACATGGATAAATACCCACTCTTAGTTGCTAGTGTGAATGTAGATTATTGGTCCTCTTCACAGGCAAGTTGGAAATACTCAGTAAGCTACAGATGACCTAGAAATTCCACTTCTAAGAATTTATCCTACTTAAATAGTCACACATTAAGAAGTGATATATTGCGGGCCGGGGATGTAGCTCAGTGGTTCTGCCACCTGCCTCGCAAGCACGAGGTCCCTAGTGCAATACCTGGTACCCAAAAAAAAAGCAGTGATATATTTAGAAGATTATATTATAGCATGATTCTTTGTAATAAAATATCGTCCATCAGTAGAGGAAGTAATAGCACCATAAAACAGTCCATCAGTAGTTGCATTAAAGAAATTGTGATATATCACTGCACTAGAAATCAACTTATTAAAAGAATATGGCAATTTATTAAAGAATATATGTCATAGAATAATCTCCATGATTTAATATTCAAAGAGAAAAATACATGAGGTTCAGGATAATATGTAAAAAGAAAAAGAAACATGCTTGCAAACTTTAATCTCTGGAATGGTACCTAAGAAACTGATATCATTGGGTAGATGAGGGAGATTTTTATCTCACTAGCCTTTTGTCTTTTACTACGATTTGTTGTACCTTTGGAACCGTATGATTTTATGTTAGAAAACTGTTTCAAAGTAGATACAAGTAAAAATAATCTCATCCCTTAAAATTTTAACACAGGATAATACTCAAAAATGTTATATATTAAAAACAAAATACTGTAATGGCCAGTATCTACATATCCTAATTTATATTAATTTTTAAATTTTATTGGTATACATAAAGGGATTCTAAAAGAGTATTTCAAAAAATTACAGTAAGCTCATGCTGACTTTGGGGATTTAGGGAGAAGTTTTTGTTTTCTTTGAATTTTTCTGTTTTTTTGGTTTTTTTTTCACAAAGTTTCCCATGATGAGCCTTAGTAGGGGGAAAAACTCAGTGTTGTAAAACATACTTGCAAGTTTATAGATGAGTACACATTGTCTGCATCGCATAAGCAAGGTAAAAAAGGAAAAATACAGTTTCTTAATTTTGGGGAGAAAATGAATATATAGTTTCATCTTTGTTCTGGTTTTTTTGATGGGGGGCGGTACCGGGGATCAAACTCAGGACCTTGTGCCTGCAAGGCAGGCGGCAGAACCATTGAGCTAAATCCTCGGCCCTCGTCTTTGTAATATTTTGACTGTCTTGAAAACACTGAAGATAGTGGGTTTTTGTTTTTGTTTTTTTCTTAACAGAAATCAGTAAGATCTTATACTATCTGGTATAGGCTTGGTTTATTATGTCTGTTGTAATTAATAGTGTCCCCTTTGACCTCAAAAATACAATCATGCTTAGTATGAGAACCAATAGAAATCAATGTAAAAATTAGCAGAGGAAAGGGAGACAGGAGCGAGAAGTTCTGAAGAACTTCTGAGAAGTTGAACAAGTTTAAGTCTCCTGGTTCTTTGGAAGTTCACCTGATTATAACAGTTTCTCCTGTTATTCATAACATGGGACTGAGTTTATAGAATTTCATATGTGAATTTGAATAGCTACTGCAGTCTGCAGCATAGAACTTAAGATACTGTGTAAAGTGCAGAGGGCCTAACTAACAAGATTTATGACCTTGATAGCAGGATACTTAAAATCTTTTATTCTGTAAAAATAGGGATAATTTGCAAATGGGAACAATCAAATCAGATGATCTCAGAGTCTTCTCTAGCTGTATAATCACAAGGTCTCATGTAAACTTTTTGAGATATAAACATGTACCAGCAATTCAGGGTTGGAAAAAACACATAATTGTTTCTCTTTTATCTCTTCTCTTGAAGGAATGGTTTTATCTGAAAAGCCCATAGCAACAACCATTTTAATAAGAATCCATTAGAAATCCCAGGATACAGTCTGTGGTTATTTTGGCTTTTGCACTTTTTCTTAGTTGTGATTAAAATTTTTATGGAAAAGTCTTGTGTTGGTTTTAGATCCTTAGACATTACAAAACTGTTACCCATACCTATTTAAATACCTTGATAGGAGAAAGAGAAGTAGTGATATATACTGGTAATGAGGTTGTAGAAATTTTTATTATTAAAGTTTATTATTAGAGAATTTCTCATAAAACTAAGAATACTAAGCCTGTAAGCTGAACTCCTTTTTAACTATAGGAATCAATTCTAATCTATACTGCTTTTCTCTGCTTGTTTAGGAAATGTAGGTTCTTCCCTCAGATCCTCTGATTTAGTCAAGTTAGCCCAAGAATGCTGTTACCATAATAACAGGGGCATTGCGGCTCATGGAGCAAGAGTTCTAACTAATATAACTGTCTCTTGTCAAGAAAAAGGTAAGTTAGGAAAATAGAAATTCAATTTGACCTAACTATCCCCTTTCTAGGTGTCTTCCCAAAAGAGTTAAAGAAACCATATTACAGTGATAACATGCATAACCGTGTCTATAGCAGCACAGTTCATAACACCTAAGTCTTGGAAGTGGCCTGTGTCCATCAACAGATGAATGGATAAAGACAATGTTATATTTATACACAATGGAGTACTACTCTGTCATAAAGAAGGATATATTTGAATCATTTATAGGAAAATGGATGCATCTTTAGATAGTACTGTAAGTGAAATAAATTAGACACAAGCTGAAATGTCGAATGGTTTCTCTTACATGAAAAGCCCAAAATGTAAATAATTTAAAGACCAAAATACATGACAGATAAAGGGAAATAAGGAGGTAGATCTTTGCAGATGAGACTGGTACCAAGAGATGGGCGTAGGAGGCAAAAGGTTAAAGAAAACTAAGATGTGTTATATACACATACCAACTCCCCACCATGAATGTAATCGTTATATACTCCAAACATGGACTAATAAAATTTTTTTAAAAAGGTAAGTTTATTCAGGAATAGTATTATATGAACTTTGGATTGGAGCATGGACAGAATTCTGGGTGTGCTTGGTTTTCTGTTCACTTGTCTTTAGCCTATGTGCCTTGATCTATAGTTGCTTCCTTCTGAAGTGCTCTTGGAACCCACTTCTCAAGGCCACTTAATTCTTGTGAAGAGTAATAAAAATCTAAAGACCTTGGGACTGGCTGCAGTTGTACAGTGAGGGGTTTTATGGAGCGTTGCCCATTTCTTTGCCACTTCCCTCTGCCTGTGTGGTGTTGTGGATTGATAAGAGCTTGCTTAGGAAATCTGCCCCTGTGGTATAAAACAGTGTATTCGCTGATACAGAAACCTAGAAAACATCCTTGTTGATGATGCTTGAATGACAGGTTGTAGAGACAAGTGAATTCACAGAACAGTGTGCGTTACTTTTGACAAAATTCATCTCCTACATAAGTATAGCACTAAGCTGATTTGTATAATCCAGGAAGACATGCAAAGAAAATCATGCACATATTTTGTGGTCCTAATATCTTTTAACCTACAGACTTGAAAAATTCCATGCCTTTGTTCAAGAACAGAAAGTGCGTTTTGGACACTTTGATCGTTATGAAGGATCACAAGCCTAGTAGTCCTCCTTATCCTGGCCATCAGCACTGCTTGTTCCTAGTGTTGTCTTTTTCTGTACTCTGACCTTCACTAGTCTTAGAACTCACTGTCTTAAACTAACTCAGGAAGCATTGGTAAAGTTATATGTTGGATCTGATTTAAATAATTAAGCCTGTTTTATGCGGGGCATAGTAAAGAGTAATTTTGCTGTGTGTTTTTTTTTTTTTTTTTTTTTTTTTTTTTTTTGTG